GGAAGGTAACCTGTTAAGTGAAGGGATGGTTTCACAAGTGTGTTACAGAGTGACCAAGGTTTGTGGTCACTGCTTTGATATACTCTGGGAGTCTGAAATGCTCAAAAGTTATTAAGTAAGGTTGTGCCACCAAGAAATGAATTCATTTGCTACTGAAGAATGTTAAGCTGGTGGATTTTTCTCTACCAGTTTCTCTGTGCCTTGCTTGTGCCTCTGAAGCCTTCTTTTATTACTAAAGAATTCAAAACATGAAGACAAAATGTTGAAAGTCAGAGAGGGAAGGCAATCCTGAGTTATGCCCAACAGCTGTTCTCTTTGATGTTAAAATCAATTGCCCAAAGGAGCAAAGAGAAAACCTTCCAATCTTTCAATTACGTTCTTAGATCTCATAGCATTTTACATTTGAACTTCGAGTAAGAAAGCCTGGCAAAAGATGTGACCCTTGTATGGAAGAAAATATGATGATTGCAGTTTGTTCTTCTTAAAAATTGTTCATAACTTCAACTATGTGACACGCAATGACTTTACCTCAATTTATCACTGTGGTTCACGAAAATGAAATATCCCATAACTGAATTTAAATAAGGCATCTGATACTTCTTAAACATAACAGAGGAAAATGTATATTTCTTGTCCTTTTCAAACTTCCACTTTCTATAAAATGTGTTAGTTAATAGCAAGACACTGCAGAAGGGACTGCAGGAAATTTCAAGGTCACATTTTTAGAAAAATAGCTTTTCACCAACTTGGAGCTCATCGATTTAGAAAGAAAACACAAGTGAAGCTTACAGATATTGATTAAGACAAATCACTTTTCACAGTATTAACATATTAATGCTGTATTTGTATAGAAACAATAGTACTAATTACAGTGGAACCATAGAGTATTCATTTAAAAATGCCTTAGCACTAAGGGCATTGAGAGTACACGTATACTGCTGAGCACTGAGTAATGTATAGCATTATTCAATCACTATATTGTGCACCCGAAGCTAACCTAACAGTGTATGTTAATTGTACTCGAATAAAAAAATGGTAAAGAACAATTCTAACGAATTGCCAAGTGAAAAATCTAGCAAGGGTAGTTAATACGAAGAATGTCAGAAAAAAGGACTAAAAATCACTTAGTTGACGTTAAAGAAGATTAATTTCAGGCACTCAAAATGTTAATGCCATAGATGCAGTAAAGATCATCTAGAATATTTATCAATTTTCATATTTGGAAACTGGGGCCCAGAGAGGTAAAGTACTCCTCACCCAAGTCTGTGTAGTTGGTTAACTATGGAGTAAGGTCTAGAACTAGGTCTCTTAGTCCCCTGTCAATTGCTCTTAGTATCACACTACAGAGTAACTGAATCCCAAAGTAAATCAAGTGAAGACACACTGTCTGAATGACTGCATTACACAGTAAACTATCCTAAGCCCTGGAAAAGAAATAGGTATCCAAAGAAGACGCTGCTTTTCTTAAAATAACTTACGGTCTTGTGAAGAAAATAAACCTGAAAAATTGCTTAGATTATAGTTCAAGATATTAACTCAAGAAATAAAGATATGTGATTGGTTTTCATGTTGGCATGTGTTCCCATTAACATTATAGGAGCCCTGAGGAGGGGTGCCTGGGTGACTCAGTCAGTTAAGCATCTGACTCTTGGTTTCAGTTTAGGTCATGATCTCACGGTTCGTGGGATTGAGCCCCAAGTTAGGCTCTGTGCTGACAGTGCGGATCCCTGCTTGGGATTCTCTCTCTCCCTCCCTCTCTGCCCTTCCCCAACTTGTGTGCGCGCTCTCTCTTTCTCTCTCTCTCTCAAAATAAATAAATAAACATTTTTTTTTTAAAAAGGAGCTCTGAGGAAACATGACTCCCCACGAGAAGGGGAGGTGGAGAAATTTCGGAGGAAGATGTGGGAGTTGAATTGGATCTTGAAAACTCGGAAGGATTTATAGGAGATAAAGAAAAGACGGCATTTTAAGAAGACAGAAGTATATGAATATATACAAGTTCTACTCATATCTGTAAAAAACTCCCCCCAAAACAACATACTGTGTTATCACTGGTCTTAGGTAAATGACAATATAATTTATCTTACTTAAGTATAATTACTTACTTTAAGCATAATTTTCATCAAGAAGGAACAGTTAAATGTTTATTATCTGTCCTGGTGAGTTGGGGAAAAAAAAGATATGAAGTGGGCACTATTGGTGGAATGCTTTATTTACAGTTGACCCTTGAACAACATAGGTATGAACAGTGTGGGTCCACTTATACGTGGATTTTTTTTCGATAAATATAGCACAGTGCCGTAAGTGTTTTTTCCTTATGATTTTCTTAATAACATTTTCTTTTCCCTAGCTTACTTTGTTATAAGAATACAGTATATAATACATATAATATAGAAAATACATGTAATCAACTATTTATGTTATTGGTAAGGCTTCCAGTCAACAACAGGCTTTTAGTAGTTAAGTTTTGGGGGAGTCAGTATGTGGATTTTCAACTGTGCAGGTGGTCAGTGCCCCTAACCCCCTCATTGTTCAAGAGTCAACTGTATTTACTTACTTATACCTCATTATTCCACGAAGAAATTGAGGTAGCTTTTAAAAATTGAAAACATCCAAGAAAAATAATAGAAGATAAAAATTGAAAACAAAAGCTGAATAAAATAAATTAAAGGAAAATGATAAACCCAGGAGTAAAAGCAGCACATAGAGAAGAGCAGAATATACAGTCTAGATGGTTGTTAGAGGATGGGGAAAGGGGGATGGAAATACACTTGACCCTTTTCAGAATTTCCAAGATTTTTTCCTGCATTAGATTAAAAATAAAGCAAAAAACTTGTAACTCAGGAGAAGCTGAGCCTTTCCTAACAGTGAGATGAGAGAAATTTCTCCTGAGTCCTCATAAAGAAGCCACTGAATGATGCAGCAGGTGCTGTCCTCACCCCCACCCCTTACTCTATGGTTACAAAGAATAATTTCTCACAGTGGTCCTCATACTATTGCTCCGTGTAGGACAAAATCATCACATATAGGTATGATCAACTGCAAAACAGTGTGGCCCACAGGCTTAGTTCTACTGTAATATAAGAATAAAATTTAGGCTATATACTGGATTGGAGGGACCATATGCTCTCCAGTTCATATGGATTCATTTATTCACTCAAAAATTATTGATTGCATATAACGTGACAGACACTGGGAAATAGCCATGAATAGAAGAGACGGTCATTCTCATGAGTTAAATATTCTAGTGGTGGGAGAAGGATCATAGACAAACATATGTTAGATGGTGATAAATACTTTTGGGAAACATAAGGCAGGGCAAGGTGAAAGAGAACATGGTGGTCAGTCAGGGTGAGGTTGCTAGTTAAGAAGGGTAATTGCAGACAACCCCTCGGATATGGTAACGTTGCAGAGAAACCAGCATGACGTGAGGAAGGATACCCTAAGATGTCTGAGAGAAAACTTGCAGACAAAGGAAACAGTTAGTGCAGAGGCTCCAAGAGAGAAGCATGCTTGGCATGTGTGAGTAACTGCCAGACACCCAGCCAGACAGGGTGGGGCGGGGGGAGGGAGGGGAGGATAAAGGTCTTCTTATGAAAATGAACGAGCCAGGATGAGGTGAGAAAAAGGGATGAAGACAGTCAATCTTTGCTTCAGAAGGTTCCCACAGTGTCCAAGGGTCCCTGGGTGGCTCAGTTGGTTAAGCAGAAAGTTCCCACATTGTCTGCTTCAACACAAGCCAAAGGTAGCTGAGGACCGCCAGTGTATAACAGAATGCAATCATCATCACATCAGCTTGACCATTATGCTAAAACATGCATTGAAATCACCCACCACAGACCTGAGCTTCTGTCTAAAGCCCACCTACACTATACAGAGAATATTAGAGCATGAAAACTAGTCTTGTCATTTCTGACACTTAAATACCACAGAAAGTTCTAAATTTGCTTCCTGTTGAAACATCCAAAATTTTTTCAATGCAAATTGCACATCTATGTAACTGATATCAAATCATGTATCAGTATCAAATCATTCATTACATTTCAGCCAACTGAATGCTGCAGGGCATCTTTTGGAGGTGTTGACTTTGATTTTAAAGACAATCTGGCCAATTGTGTGATAGCAGAATCCACTGTCTATTGAGGGCACTTATGTGTGTCAACAAAACTGCATCATCAATTTAGAGAAGACAGTTTATGCTTGTTTCCCCTTAGCAGGGGGCATGTATCCAGAACACTGAAAAATAGTATCCAATCATTTAGACACAAGTGAAGAGAGAAGGAGAATAAGAATATCCCTGTATACCATGAGAAATGTTATCTCTTCAGAGCCTGTTCTATAGCCTCTGCGATCTTTTAACACAGGATCTATTATCAGTAATTGGTTCCACATTGAGTTTGGAGATCTGACTCCATTAGCAAGTCCCCAGAAAAATATAAGAAATAGCAATAAAACTAGCAAATACCATGTATTGTTCTTGAGAGATTTTGCCCCAAAGTGATATAGAATACATGAATGACCTCTAATGACCTCTATTCTTTGTCTAAAGGCTGCCTTCAGTACACAGAGAGTATTGGGGTAAGAAGCCAGGCTTATAATTTCTGTCAAGAAGAAAACAGACATAGAAATTAGTTGCTCAATATGGGGTTACAAACTGACTCATTGGTACCAAAATCTGGGTAATATTAATCTATATATTCAACAGCAAAAACTTTTAAGTTTTTTTTTTTTTTTTTTTTTTTTTTTTTTTTTTTTTTTTTTTTTTTTGAGAGACAGAGAGAGGGCAAGTGGGGGAGTGGCAGAGAAAGGGAGAAACAGAGAATCCTAAGCAGGCTCCATGCTGTCAGCACAGAGTCCGACGTGGGGCTCAAACTCATGAACTGTGACATCGTGACTGGAACTGAAATCAAGAGTCAGACACATAACTGACTGAGTCACCCAGGTACTCCTCAACAATAAACTTTTTAAAAAAATATGTGAAGTTCAAAGGAAACAATTACCTGCTCGGCCAGCAATGAAGCTAAGCTTGAATATGCATCTGCAAACTCTGGACCGTATTTAATGGAGTCCTTCAATAAGGTGATAGCCTCTTCTTTTTTCTCCTGGGACCTGGAGGTCATAAAGAGGGAAAAAACAGCATCTTTTAATAACATTGTGTTTAAATCCTCTGATTAGATGTAAAATCTCATTTCTTTTAGCAAAGATTACTGATTCCTTCTGGATTACATTGCAAATGAATTAAACTAGATTGTCTCAAGGTACTAACAGTTTCTGTCTCTGAATTCTAAGTGGAAAGAGGTGTAAATGATGCTGCAGGTTATTCACTGATTTTTCTACCTTCTATTTCCTGCTATACACTTTTTGAGAGTTTTATTTAATATTTTACAAGTTTCGGGGTGCCTGGGTGGCTCACTCAGTTAAGCGTCCAACTCTGGGTTTCGGCTCGGGTCATGATCTTATGGTTCGTGAGTTTGAGTCCTGCGTTGGGCTCTGCACTGACAGTGTGGAGCCTGCTTGGGATTCTCTCTCTCTTTCTCTCTCTGCCCCTTGTCCACTCTCTGTCTCTAAATAAATAAATAAACTTAAAAAAGATATTAATATGTTACAAGTTTGTTAACCAGAAAGCTTGACCACCAGAGGAGCAATGTGGAGGCACTCGAGGGAGCCGGTTTACAATGATGTGAACGATGTGCTGAGCCCCTGGAGGACGAGCTGTACCAATACAGGCTGGGTGCCACGGTGGCCGAGCCACCCGTCAGGCACAAGCCAGCCAAACTGCTCATGTGAACCTTTGCTTTTACATTGAAGAGGGATCCATTTATACATAATTTATGAAGTTAGGAGATACTGTGACTACTGGCTGGCAAAGAACGATCAGCTATTTTATTCATCACATTTTCATTGAAAATCTGGGCTGGTTCTGTCTTCTCCATTTTAGTCTTTTCTTGAAAGTAATTATTTCTGGTTCGAAGAGGACTCGAGGCCCCAAAGTTATTACCAATATTTTGGGTAGCAGTTCTCTTTCCTGCTAGTGCCATGGGGGAAACACCAGGTCATTATCCTGATATCGACATTTTGAAGCCAAAAATATACAGTGGCAGTGATCAACTTTGCTACAAATACAATTTCACAAACACTGGACACTTGCTAAGCAGTGGAATAAAAAAATAGAATCCCTGGAAGTATAGAAAGCACACAGCTTAAGAGTCCCCCCATCTTTACCAGTTACCACTATAGATTTATGTGCCTATGTTTTCACTATTTAGGGTCACCAATCACTCAGCAATGTACCATATAGACTCTGGTCAATTTTCGCATAACATTATACATTTTCACAACAATCCCACACAGCAGGTGTTTACTGTCCTATCATATTCATTTTTCTAATGAGAAAATGTGGATTCAGAAAAGTCAAGTGACTCATCATGTTCATATAACCAGTCTTCTGGGTCGAGATCCAGTGCTTTTGCTTCACACCACATCTGCTTCTTCTAACTACTTAGAAACCCACCTCACATGACCTTGTTGCTCCAAATGTGAGTCCTGGACCAATATCATCACCACCACCAGGAGCTTGTTAGAAATGCAAAGCTTTTGGCCCCATTCAGACTTCCTGAATCAAACCCTACATTTAAAAAAGATTCTCTGGTAATTTGTTCGCATACTGAGATTTCAGCAGAATTGCTCCATAAATTAGCAAAGACAGCGCAGTGTAGCTCCTGCTGCAAGCCCCCTATGGCTTCAGTCTCTGTAGGATGAAGATCTGTAGAGGAAAAACTAATATTGACTCCACAAGCGTCAGTTCCAAGTACTAGAAGCAGCATGCTACAAGGCAATTTTACCTAGAAAGGAGTCTTCTATCATAGACCTTGAAAAAAAAGACATGTTTCCAGCAAAGACCTTCCATTTAACTGCTGGGTTTAGCAAGCATCTATCATTATCTATTACGTGTTAGCCATTTCCTAAGGGAGGTGGCTGTCCATGCACTCCTCTTCTTACTGGGGGCAGAGCTAACCGGGCTCTTCCTGATGCACTCTCCTGCCCCTGATGTCAAGGTGAAACACCTGCGTCCTTCAGTGGATTATCTTTGGGATGTGGCTTGAAAGTTGCAGGGTTATAAGAAATTTGCATCACAGCTGTCTTAGTGCTGCTTTTTTTATTGATTCAATCATTTAGTCAACAAACATTTAAAGAGTGTCTGTTAGGCTCTATGGAAGTCCAGTATGTTTACATACTTCGCGTTTTTAATCTAGAATATACCTTGAGGTACTTCTTCCACGGGCGCTTGTAAAGTAAAGCTTATTTTTTTAATCTTGATAATTTGACTATTGATCTCATGCTTAGCAGAACTCTTTTGCCAAGGATTTCATAAATCTTTATTAACATTAATTTGGAAATCCTCCCAAAATCCACAAAAAGATTTAGATTTAGGAAATTAAAGCTGAAGATTGAGTTCCCCGGGACATAATTGAGCTTGGATATTCTTCAAAATCAGCAGGAAAAAAACCCACAACAATTTGACAGGAAAGATTTAATGATTCTCATTGGTCAGGCTCACATCAGTCAGAACGGCAACTCAAACTTTTTATATATGATTTCAGTGAGATTAATGACCACTTAATGACATCTAGGAATCTAAATACTTGAGGCTGTCCATTACCATTCATATGACACAGTGGAAAAGTTAGCATCACAGTTATTCACAAGGAGTTTGATTCTTTTTTTTTTTTTTAACATTTATTTATTTTTGAGAGACAAAGAGAGACAGAGCACAAGTTGGGTAGGGGCAGAGAAAGAATGAGACACAGAATCTGAAGCAGACTCCCAGGCTCTGAGCTGTCAGCACAGAGCCCGAAGTGGGGCTCGAACTCACAAACCGTGAGATCATGACGAGTCAAAGTCGGACGCTTAACCGACTGAGCCAGGTGACCCAGGGAGCTTGATTCTTTATGAAAAGCTGTATCTCTATTATTCTCTTGAGGGACTGACACATTTTCAGAAAAATAACTCATCATGTAATTTTGTTTAGTACAGGAGTATTGCAAGATGCAAAGACCAGGCAGAAAGGACATTTCCTCTTGGCTCTGCATTCTCGGGTGATTCTGCTTTTCCCTGGGAGCCTTTGAGAGTCATTAGACCCCAACAGGTGTCAGGCACATGCCACCTTAAGAGATATTTTTAAATGTTTTTACAAAAGCCAGAGGAATTGGTAAGCAATAATTTTGTTGTTGTTTTGTTTCTGAAAGGAAGAGAAATGGTAAGAAGAGGCATTTCTTCTGTAGTCTCTCTTTTTGCTCAGCCTTTGGTGGGAGCTTGTGAAATAGGTGTGGTTTTGACATAATAACTTACAGAGGATTAATCTCAACAGTACTTTCTTTGGTCGTACATTACCACGTGAGAACTGAACTTCACTTCAACTCCTTTCTTGTTTCAGAGGCATCCCTTTTTCTATCCACGTTACAGCCCATGTTTCTCTACTAATTGCCTCATATTAATTAAAAATCAGTGACCATATTACTATAATTCTATTGAATAGACTACACCTTACTCAGTTTTGCTTGCTAACACCTTAGTTCACAACCTGCTTCTAGTCCCCTCTTCCTTCTCCTTCTACTACACACAGATAACTGACAAATACATATTTTCTACAGCGCTGCTTTCAACCCATTCCTTTATATAAAAATCTTCATTAATGCCCTGCTGCATACAGAGAGACCGTTTAAAACCTTCCATAATATGGTTCTGACCAACATTCCAAACATAACCAGGTACACACTAGTCCAGCCAGACTGGGTGGACTTTGGCATTTATCCTACAGAACCTGAGAGATAACCGACTCCGTTGCTTTTCTACCCTCAGTGTACTTTAAAATCACTTAAGGTGCTTCTAAAAAGACCTTTTTGTTCTTAGGCTGGGCTTCTTAAGAGGAAACTCTCCATATGAATATGACAGCCATTCAGATTTGAGAATTATGGCTATAATCCATCCTCCTTGACGTAAACTAGTGGGAAATGAGACTCAGAGGGCCTCAGGGATTTGCCCTGGTCCCAAGTGAAAAGGAAGGCCTCATATAGGTCTCGTGGCCTCTCAGCCTGGTATTCATGCCTGACACTTCACAGATGGCTTTCCCCTCCCCTCCACTCAATGATGTTTTCCCTGTGCAATGGATTATCACCAGCTGACTCACAAGCTCAAAGCATGATCCCTCATCAGATCTACTAAACATATAACAAAATTAGAAAACATACATGTGCTACCTTTCTTATAGTTTTCTTTATGTATCTCTGTAAGGAAAAAGATGGCAGGGGAACAGCCGTCTGGAAGCCCTGTTATGGCCTCCAAAGGGGCAGCTGCCCATTGTTCTTCAGGTCAATATTTAAAGGGTGACTGAGCTCCAACTCATTTTCTTCTCCAAGACCCTGGTGCAGCACGCGAAGCACCCCTGCCCCTGCCTCCCAAGGAAGGAGCGTCTGTCCACCAGGGAGTGGCCATGTGGGCAAGTTGTTAAGGCTTCCCATTTCCTGATAGCTGTTTGCTGAACCTTTACTCTCTGCTAAGGACCCCGTAAGTGATTCTTTTGCATTATTCATTTTAATTCTCCCTAAGTATAATGAATTAGGCATCAGTATTTCCATTTTTAAGATTTAGAAAACAATACCAGCAACTATACCCCAACACGAATAAACTGAGATTTGGAGAGCTAAGTGATGTGCCTTCCAGCACACAGCTACTGTGACACCAGGATTCTAATTCAGAACTTCACATGTGTCCCGTTCCGTGGACAGGCCACCCTCAACACTTCTGCATCTACTCTCTTAAATGTTGGGCACTCTGGGACCATTACTAGGTTTTACGCTCCTTCACAGGCAAGACCCATGTCTTATTAACCTTACTTCTTTTATACTAGCGATCTGTACACAGTAGAAGTTAAATAATTTTAGTAAAGTGACCTGTACATAGTAGAAATTCAATAATTGCTAAATTAATTTTTATAAATGTGGTTTTACTATTTTATTCCTAGATCTTTGTAAACCTTAAATAAGCATCTTGGTATTCTAATCAAATTTGACAGAGGTGGGTAATATAATCATTCATTTTATATCTCCATT